TCTCTCTCTCTCTCTCTCTCTCTCTCTCTTAAACAGAGCACTGGAGTACTGTCTAGACGTGGGAAACATGAATCTATCGGCGATCAGAACAGTGAGAGTTTTGCGACCATTGCGTGCAATCAATCGGATTCCCAGTATGTAGTCATTCATAATAACCAATAATGTAGTCATCTTTTAGCCCTATTTACTAATTAACAAGTGTTTTAATCCCACACTCAAAACAATCATCACAGGTATGCGTATTCTGGTTATGCTACTACTCGACACACTCCCGGTTAGTATACTTTATATATACAGCATAATATCAATACATAAGTTTTATATACGAGAATATTCCGGTCGAATATGTAAATATGATAATTTTATTGACACAATCTATTTATGGTAAAAATTGTTGTGAAATTGATGACTCGTTTGTCCTTTCAATACAGATGTTGGGAAACGTCCTAATGCTGTGCTTTTTTGTATTCTTCATATTTGGCATAATTGGTGTTCAGCTTTGGGCCGGACTTTTGCGTCAAAGGTGTCATCTCGTCCTCCCGCCCAATATCTCAAACCCGAGGTATTTCATTGCCATTAATTATGATCATGATGATCGTTTCATCTTGTTTTAATATACTTTACTAGAGTTTACTTGTATATTAAACATATACAAGTCGAGAGTTAATGAATTCAATTTAGTTTAATATGGTGAAAAATTTATATGATTTTCATTAATGTTGTTTTTGTTTATTTTCAATGAGTTATTTACGGAATATTTTAATGGGATTTGTTTTGAAACAGTGATTACGTTAAGTGAATTTAAAGAGATATAATATCCGTTTTAATTAATTTATTGTAAAATTATAATATTTCGCTTACATTAGAGTCCAAAAACACTTAACACGGAATATGCATAAAAGTATAAAACATTTTTCTGACATATTTGTCAAAAATAATGCGAAAATTTATTCCCATTTTTATAGATATTTATAAATATTATCTACATTTTTCTTCCACAGCACTTGAGTTGTGTGTAAATTGAATGAAAATATTTAAAATAGTGTTTTCTCTACATATAATATTTTGTATTATTGTTTAAATAAATATAAAATATAGTTTTCATCGTTTGTCATATAGTATTGTATATAATATTGTCGTTTCAGTTATTGTGTGAAAATATATGAAAGGCTTAAAGAATTGAAAAAAGGAAAGAACTAGACATAGAATTTCATTAATAATATGACTGAATGGTTAGTGAATGAGTGCGAGAGAGAGAGAGAGAGTCGTTTATAAAACCATAAAATAAACCCCATTTGTTGGCCATCAGTGAGAATGTGTGTGAAGTTAACAAAAATAATTGAAACACATTTAATAAATTATATTCGTTCGTCTCAAAAGGCAATATCAATGAACAAAACAAAACATATATAAAAAATAACATTGGGTTGAATTGAAAATCTAATATGGTTTATTTGCTGTACAATATATGCTCATATATAATGACTTCCGCCTCTTTTCAGGTACAATATCTCCCAGATATACGTTGAAAGAGTGAAAGTATTACAGTAAGACATCCTTACAATTTCGTCATTGATAGAGACCATACCATTGCGATTGTGTTATAACTTTTACATATAAAACTATGCTTTTTCCCCAATACTGTTATATAACTTATATATAATATGATTGTTGCCAAACCCCCTAATAGTTGTGTACTGAATATATATAGTGTAGATCTCGACTTTGTATAGTAGTATTATCTCTCCTTCCAGTAGTGGTAACGAAAAAAACCAGTAGTAGTGTAGCTCTTAATGCATTTCACATCAATAACAATACTAATGATTTGCATTTTTTCTCCCACTCTTTCTTTCTGTACTATACTATCTAGTAATCCATTATATATACTATAATGGCATGAATAAAGCATTAGTAATAACATGGCATTAGTTATATAACTGGAAATTTAAAAGTAGTAATCATTTTGATTCCTAAGATTCTTCACTTCTGATTCTTGTTTCCATTCATTGGATTTTTTGCTGTCTTTTGATTGTGATTTGATATAGAGATGATTGAGATCTCATTAGACATTAGATATAATTGTTTGTGTATTTGGTATTGCATTTAGAGAAAACAATTAATTGCAAATTAAACTAAATTATATATTTATAAGCATTTAAATTTGATTAATTGAGTGCAAATAGTTTTAATTGTCTGAATCTACCCCTCCTTCTCGACCCAAGTTTATGCCTATTCCTTAACCAAAGGCCGGTCTATAATAATATACTTTTATGTTTTTAAATTTGTTGCTGTTTTTGGCTAAATCTATACTAAAACCAAATGAATGACTATTTGTGGTAATGGTTTGCTGAGTATTTCTTGTTATTTTTCTGGTGACAAAAAAGACTATTCAAATGATAACTTTGAAACGAAATGTCTTTTTTCTTTTGTTTTACTCTTGTTTTTAATATTAGAAAACTTTATATATTTATAATATATTTGATTCTAAAGCCATTTCCAGTACCTGAATCTCTATGTCTGTATGTTTTGGCAAATTTTCTTTCCTCTCTCTCTTCGTTTTCCTTCTCCATCCATATATGAAATGATATATAATTTATTTATGCAATGCTTGTGTAAGTGCTATGCCTAACGTGTATACATATAACTAGTGATATAACATATTTCAAGTGACAAATTCAGTGCATATGTAGAGCCAATGCTTTAGTGTTTTTTATATATCGCATACAGAATATTCTAGTTTCTCTGTAGATGTATGTTATGTTGTCTTTTCCCCAGCAAAATAAAAATATAATGTCAAGCATTTTATTGATTTAACCAAATGTGATAGAAATAAATAGTTTAGTGGTTTGAATGTCCACCACATGAGAGATGTCAACATAAAGTTTACCATAATTTTGATGCGATAATTGCAGTCCAATCGCGTCGTACTATCAGAACCCGGACGCCGACAAGGAGTACATCTGCGCTCTGGACAAAGACAACGGAATGCATCGGTGTGTGGATCTGCCGCCGTCCCGATACTATCACTTGGTCTGTCAGGACAGGGCCCGACCCGACAGTTACAACGACCCAAACGACACCAATTGTGTCAATTGGAACCAGTATTACACCCAATGCCGCGCCGGCGACAAGAATCCCTTTCAGGACGCCATCAGCTTTGACAACGTGGGTATGGCCTGGACCGCCATCTTTCTGGTCATATCGTTGGAGGGCTGGTCCGATATCATGTACTACGTCCAGGACGCCCACTCCTTCTGGGACTGGATCTACTTTGTGCTCCTTATAGTGGTTAGTAGTAGTGGTTCTGGGGTTTGGTTGTAATGTTTTGTCCCATTTATATGCTTTTTTCTTATGTCAGGTATTAAATTTGAAATGTAAATTATAAGATTATATAATAGTATTCAATCATAAAATTTAATATATGGTAGTATTAAAGTAATCTGTTTTATATCGCAAACATATTATATTCAATGCAAAACTCATAACACATATAATATTGGAAAACTAAAGGGAGTGATAAAACGAGATTCTAATTTAAATGAAATTTATGTTTTCACATACAATTCAATAATACACATAAGATTATATTAGTAAATAATTTGCTTTTATATTTATGTCCACTTATATCATAATGGTTTATTTCATAATAGCATATATACGGTGTGTATTATAAGATTGTGGTCTCAATGGCTGTTTCTCTCACTCTTGTTGTGATAGATTGGCTCGTTTTTTATGATTAACTTATGTTTGGTTGTGATTGCGACCCAATTCTCCGAAACCAAGAAGCGTGAAATGGAGAGAATGCGACAAGAAAGGGCCAGGTATGTGACCCCGGTGCCCAACTAGCTATTCATACCGTATATACTGTACTGTATGTGCTATACTCCGTATATATTTCCCACTTTTTTGCGCAAACATTGCTTTTTTTTGTCTCATATAATATTTATACAAAACACATACAAGAATCCAATCATTCATTGCATTGCCTGTGATTTAATTGAATATAAGGTACAGAGTATAGCACAGACACGAGTACAACAACAAAAAACAATACAAAAAGCAACAGAATATGGTTATAATTGAATTGTATGTTAGGTGCCATTCAATGAGCACTCTGGCCAGTTATAGTGCCAGTGAGGCCAACAACTGTTACGCCGCTCTCATCAAATATTTAGCCCATTTGTGGCGCAAATCGCGCAGAAATACTCTCCGATGGTATCGGAGTCGACATAAAGGCAGCAAAACGGGAATCCCGGCCGATATGATGGCCGGCATCACAGAGATAGTGGCGCCGCACACCATAACCCTGAGCGCCGGCAAACGGCTCCACAAGCGCTCGGGTGGCGGCAAAAAGTCGCGCAAAAAGTACAACATTAAAAACCATACGTACGTAACGACCGGCGATCACAAGTCGACTGATCCCTATCAGCAGCCGTTGACGACGGCGTCGTCCGGAGCGGTGACGCCAAAGGGACCAAAACCCAAACGATGTGATAAACTCAACGCTAAACAGTGGTCACCGCAGAGCACGTCCGCACGCTTTACGCAGTGTCTGATCAGCACAACCACAGCGGCCGACACGGCTGCCAACACACCGGCCCCGCGGGCCAGTCCCGAGATCTCCGACATCGATGTCAACTATTCTCCGGCGAGGAATAGCGACATCAATGGCGAGCCTCTCATCCAGACCTCGACTGCCATTATAGCGGAGAATAAGTCACACAATCGTCTCATCAATAAGTCTTCCAATAATAGTAATAATAATAACAATAATAATCATAAGTATTGTGCGAATAGGGATAGGGATGAGTGTAAAGAGAGCGCTGTGTCCATAATTCCTCACCAAAATTACGTCCAAACCGTCGATTGCGTAAAGAAAGGGCCGGATGTTTGCGGCGGCGCCGATAGTCAGGCGTTCAAAACGTTTCACTTAAATGCGGTCAAGTCGGGCCGACACGGGTCGGCGCCTACACTCCTGTTCCTGCGGCCGACGCCGAGTCCCACATTCAGTCCCACATTCGTTACGCTTAGGGGCGGCGCCGGCGGTGTTGGCGGTGCCGAGACTCGGGAACCGTTGCAAAGTATCACAGAGACCATAGGCTCGTGTGGCCAGAGTGAGGCCGGTTGGAGTAACACCGAGTGCTCGTGGGATGACGACAACGACGACCAAAACAGTGTGAACCGACACAACCATAAGGACAGTACAAAGTGCTTCACGTGTTGGGACGGCATTCAAACGGTGCTCAAAGTGATTGTGAACCACGACTATTTTGACCGTGCCATATTTTTAGCCATTTTGATGAATACTCTGTGTATGGGCATTGAATACCATCAACAACCGCCCAGTCTTACCCAAATGGTCGAGATTAGTAATGTTATTTTTACTGGTATGGTATATTATCTCAGACCTAACCCACACTCTGTGTATTTGATTTTTATCATGATTTTAATTTGAACTCATGGTGTAATTTATTTTTATGTGTAATTTAAAGCAATATTTGGTTTTGAAATGGTTCTCAAACTGTCGGCCGACGGTTTCTATACATACATATCGTCCGGTTTTAATGTGTTTGACGGAAGTATTGTGCTCTTGAGGTATGCGATTATGAGTGGAGATATAAGTGCCGATCAAATGGTTATAATTATTTTAATTAAAGTCTTCTGGAACTGTTGGAAGAGCACGGGTCGGGCCTATCGGTGCTCCGGAGTTTTCGTTTGTTGCGGATCTTGAAATTGGTCCGCTTTATGCCTGCCCTCCGCCGCCAACTGGTGATAATGTTACGGACCATCGATAACGTGGCCGTATTTTTTGCGCTACTTTTGCTTTTTATATTCATCTTTAGGTAAGTCTCAGTATTAGTCCGACAATTAAAAAACAGACAATTTTTTGCCAATTAATTAAACAATTTATTTTCCAATTAATAGATAAATAACTACTAATTAATTAGAAACTAGAAATTAATATACAATTTCCAAACTAATACACGTTTACCATCTTAATTTTAATAGACATACTAAACTAATTATTCCTAAATAACTCAAGCCTATTGTCTTGTTCAAAGTGTTTTGTCCATATGTTTTGTAACTATTTGTTTTAATTATTTTATTTTGTGGCTAAACCAAAGGGCAAATTAATTTTACAATCAAGATTTATTACACGCACTGAATTATAATTGAGAAAGTATTGGCTATTATTTGTTGGCTTTAATTTACAGTATACTCGGTATGAATCTGTTTGGCTGTAAGTTTTGTCGCCCAAACCCGGAGAACACAGCACTCCGACAGTGCGATCGCAAGAATTTTGATTCATTATTGTGGGCTTTGGTCACTGTTTTTCAGGTATATATACCAACAGAATATGTAGAGTATATACAGAATATATAAATATGAATTCTGTATATAGAATATTTATAGAGACTTTTATGGTTAATATTGTATTAATTATTTGCTGAGATGTATACCAGCGATAAGAGGGTGCAGAACATGTCTATACATAATGCAAAAGGTTTTTAACAATATTTTTGGTTGTTTTCAATTGACTGTTGGTTAGTATTATTTTTCCGGTCATATTATTCAGTGAATACCTATTATGAAGATTACATTAGATATGATATATTTATGATTATACCAGTGGTTATTGTTATGCATAATATTTAGTTAATATTAGGAACCAGTATTAGTGGTTTACCGTATAGTTTGCAACAATATTTAGAGCATAAAATAGTGCTTAACATTTAGCCTAACATTTGAATATAAATGTTATCAAATATATAAAAAATATAGTTTTATATCATTTTTATGAATAAATCGATTTTATTATTATTAAAACACCAAAATGACTGCCAATACCTCTAAAAAGCCATTAGAATAGTCATTAAAAAAGTTGATATAAAAAGAGTTTTATATTTTTTCTATGTGTTACAGAATATTCTGTTAGTTTGTAAGGTATACAAAATGTACACATATATTGCATCCGCTTTTTTGTTTGGTGTTGCCGTCTGTATGTTGTTTGGTCTCACCTCTCAAGCTCGCAATCTCTCTCTCTCTCTCTCTCTCTCGCCAGTGATTTATGTGAATGTTGTTTGCAATCACTTATATTCTGTACGAAAAAATACTGTTTATATTGTGTTTCAAAAAACTTTTCAAATCAATATTACTTAATAATATAGGAATTTTTGTTGTTGTGTCCAATATCTCTCCCACACTCTATCCCTACCCTTAAATTTACTTTTATTATCTCTCTCTCCCTCTCCTTCTCACACACTATTATCTTTTCACTCTATCAAACACACTGTCAGCTAATACTCCTGTAAATCACTTTTAGATCATATTTAAAAACAAACAAAAAAAACCTAAACTGAATCACAACAAAAAAACTAAAAAATAATTTTGACTCACAATAAATATACACAAATAAGTGCACTTGTAAATGAATTGACCCTGATCATTGCATTTTCCCACCCACACATGTATGCAACACAATGTAAATGCCTGGTCAGTTGCCTCGGCATGCATTTGTTTGGCGGACTATTTTGCACAGTTGTCCAGCAGTCGGACGGCGCGAAACGGCACTGCGATTGCACTGATATACGCGATCCTAAGATTAATTGTAGACCTAATCGAAAGCATTTCGATAATATACTCTGGGCTACCATTACTGTCTTCCAGGTCTGTGTCTACTGTCCCCACATTTATTCAATATATTTATTATATAATACTAAATACAAAATGATTTTGTTATTCATATACAGTATTGTATGTACAGTATTGTAGAGCTCAGACAGGCATTAAACACAAGTTAACTCAATAATTCAATTATCTATTGTATAGTGAAAAAAATTTCTCAATTAGTGTCATAATTAGTTTTTTATCATTTAATCTTAAAATACAAAAAAGGTTTTTATATATCAATACAGATGTTATTTTGTATAGCAATTAGAGACTACTATACAAAAAAGTAGTCAAATGCCTGTCGGCTCACAAAAAATGTTCTGCCTTTCAATTATTCAACAGAGAATTATATATAAATGATATAAGGAATCAATATATATAATGTTTAGTTTGGTTTGACTCTAATATACAAATTATTGACACATAAATTGCGGATCAGATCCTAACCCAAGAGGACTGGAATGTTGTGCTGTTCAACGGTATGGAGAGGACCTCCCCGTACGCGGCCCTGTATTTCGTGGCGCTCATGACTTTTGGCAATTATGTGTTATTCAATCTGTTGGTCGCTATTCTGGTGGAGGGCTTCTCGCAAGAGGTGCCCAAATATTGTTGATATTTGAAAATCAAATTTGTCCGGAATTTAACCCCAAAAATATTGTTTATATTATGTGTAGCCGTCGGAGAAGAAGCCATCGGAAAGCGACGACATGTCCGACGATCAAGAAGTGAAAAAAGAAAAACTCATCTATTTTTACGGACCCGAAGACAATCTCGAGAGAGGTATGGATGCAGTTATATGTCAGGGCTTTTCTGTTTGTATGTGTGCTGTGTTTTTAAGCCCTCGAAAAGTATTTTTCATATAAATAATAAATACCATAAACTCAATGCATAAAAGTGACGAAAAACAGGTATTCCTTTCCCTTACGATGTATTACATAAATAATTGACACAAAATATTTTAAACAAAATACTTTTGCTATAAATAGTGAGTTTCCGTCACATAAACTATACAAACGATACGAAATGATGTTCAAAACTAATAATAGGCATTCCCCTACTGCCCCCTTCCACACCAAACCCCACGTTGATTAACACATTACTCATTTAATTGTCTCATGAATTGCAAAACAATTAATATAAATTCTGATCTTAACAATAGAAATACAACTCTTATCGAACTCTGCGGTCGGGTATGAGATGTCAGAGTCGCTGAGAGAGCGGAAGGAGAGCAACGCCGGTGCCGGCGGAGTGGTCGCCAGCGCCGGCATAACCCTAGGCCTGCCACCAATCATCACCCATACGGCGGCCACACCGCAGGGCTCGCCCAACGCCACTCTCGAGCCCTCGCGATCCTTTCAGACGAGTCCACTCGCACTGCACATACAGGCGGCCTCTCTTTGCTCAATCAATCAGACATTTGTCAGTCAAATATATTCCTCCACTTCTTTGTCAAACATTATTACGAATTAAATATTAATTTTGTATACATTTTTCTATTGACATCGATAGGAGAATTACACGCCTCCGGGCTCTACGCGAAACGTGGCCTCACTATCGGTTCCGAGCAATCATTTTGTGCCACAATTTCTTCAACGGCGCCGAAGTTCTGCCGGATCTGTTTCGGGCGCCGCCAGCGGCGACTCTCTGGCGGTGTCCACACCGGGTAGTCGTCGGGGTTCGTGTCTGTCGGCCGCCGAAACCGCCAATACTAACCGAGTGGTGGCCAGCATTTGCCGTATCCAACGGCGCGGCAGTAATACCAGCCGTCGGTCCAGTCATAGCCATCAGCGGAAGAAGTCGTCCGACCGGCAGATACTGGTGTCTGCCGACCGATCCGACAGCGACACCGATAGTGAGACTTTCGATAACAGTAGTGATCGGCGACACAACGAACGCGAGGGCAGTGTCACCACCGAAGCCGATGTGAACCATCAGTCGTGTAACGGCGATCTGTTGGCGCTCAACACCGGCCACAACAACAACAGTAGTGATAATAATCATAACCGAAACACTCGGTGCTCAATACCGTCGACTGGAGTCGTTGTCGAGAACTTCCATCGATGTCGAGAGAGAGAGAGAGAGAGAGAGAGAGAGCAAATATATGTTAGACACGGATAGACACTAATTGTTTACTTGTGTCGACATTTTAGCCGTAATTAACAATTCATATCATTAGCTATAATTGGGAACCGAATGCCTAATCATTGGCTGTTTATGTCTCGATATAAATGATATGAAAATGCAATTGAAAGCCAAATATCGATATAAAGGATGTATAATAGTGTGGACTCACGGAAGGCATGAGATAGTGTTCGACAGACATTGTGATCACATTAAGTCCTATCACAGCAGCGATTATCAAATCAAAGTACTTTCCGGTCACTATCTTATGCACGTATAGCCGGAAACGGCCGTAACCTATGAAATACGGCGGTTCTCTCATCTCTGGCCATACCATAGACACGGATGTGACGGTCAGACAGACAGACAAATAATAAAAACAATGAGTTAAAAGTTTTATTCAAAAAAGTTTATATAAATAATAGCAATAGTTTTGTGATCTTATTGTTATATTTAATATCCAGTATTGATGTGCCGTAAGAATGATTTAAACCGCAATTTGTGTTTTCAGAGCTATTAGTGTATATAAATCGACATATTTTTGGGATTATATGTGAAGTAAAAGTTATTACTGAAGAGTACGTGATAAAAGTTAATAAACCAAATCTAATATAAAACCCATACTATTCTAATGGCTATATTAATAATTTTATATAACAAATACATTTGTATTACATTTAAATGTATTATATTTGAGAATATTTAGATTCAAATCTCGTCCGAATAAATATTTTTTCGTTTTAAACAAAAACTAAAAACAAATAAAAACTTCTTTTTCAAAACACATACTCTTATGTAAAATACAAATAGATTGCGAAAACACAAAATAATTATTACAATATAAACTGTAAATTATATTTTCAATTAAAGATACAGTTATAAAACTATCTCATATACAGGTATTTCTGGTACCTCATATTGATCTTATATTAATTATAAATATTAAATTTTTTAATTAAATAAGTAATAACTAACGAGTAAAAAGTAAAAAGTAAATGAACCATGATGAATGCAAACATATTACTATAATAACACATTTGTTGCAATAATACACATACTTTTGCGGCGCTTCTCTAGCTTTCGGGCGCGTTTGGCGGCGCGAAAGGCCTTCTCCTCCTTCTCCTGTTCCTCTCGACATCGATGGAAGTTCTCGACAACGACTCCGACAAACATATTGAGCACAAAGAATGCCACCAAAAGCAGGAACGATATGAAGTACAGGAGACGCCATTCGTTGAAGTTCTCGACCGGTTGCTGATCCACACCCACCGCATCCAAACCCGTGTACATTATGTTAACCCATCCGTCCTTCGATGACAACACAAACAGCGACATCAATGCCTGTCATAAGAGTGACCACAAAATACACATCATTTCATTTATAGTTAGTATAAAAACCTATATATTTGATAATTAATTTTCTTTCGCAGTGTATTAGCGCCGATAATTGGCAAATAACAGGGGGTTGGGATCGGGGGTAATGGGTTTATCAATATTGTAAGAATTATAATACTGTTAATTCTGGACAATTGTTAACTCAATTATTCCAATACATGTATTATTCAGTTTCATCGACTAGAAAATCCAAAATATTGTTCATACGAAATAATATTCTACAATTATAAGTTACCCCGAGTCAACCCAATTGCCATTTCTCTGTTCATTTATTTGCCAATTACGGCATAAGTAAATATAAAGCACTCGTAGACACTCATGAGTACATACCTGTCCCAAGTTATCAAAGTTATACTTCCTATTAAGCCATCGATTTCTCGGATCAGACATACACTCCGTTTTATTCCTAACATATTTGGCTTTTGGTCCTTCTGTTGAGTGGATAATAATCACAGACTAATTAGTGAAACCAATAATTGGTGAACAAATAACTGGGTTTACGTGTTTCGCACAGAAAAAGACTAAATATCACACAAAAAACGAGAGGATATAATCATAAAATCAAATACAAACCACAATAATATAGAGCGCCTTTGAATAGCTATAGAGAGGGAAAGAGAGAGTGAGAGACAAATCAATAAACACTAATTCATAAATAATTCATTTGAATGAATGATTTTTGCACTGACTTTCATGTGAGGGAAAAGAAGAGAAAAAAGCTAAAAGTCAGGCATTCATTGAGCGACTGAATACATACCTGCACTCCTAATATACCGAATATAATGAAAAATGTACAACAAATCAATACTATGTTTCCAATGGGTCGCAGCGATGAGAGCAGTGTTTGGACCACTAATTTAAGACCAGGTGCTCTGTTTATTACTCTGCAAATTAAATACAATTTAATTATATAAAAAACAACGGATTTTGAAAATAAAGAATTGTAAAATGATAATTTACAAATTTACTCAATAAACTCTCTCTCTNATTTAATTATATAAAAAACAACGGATTTTGAAAATAAAGAATTGTAAAATGATAATTTACAAATTTACTCAATAAACTCTCTCTCTCTCTCACTCACTCACTCACTCACTCACTCACTCACTCACTCACCTTAAGGGTCGTAGGGATCGGAGTAATCGGAAAACGCGTAAAATTCCCAAAATTCTGGGCGTTTTTGAGGCAAAAAACGAGAGCACGATATCGAAGAGGGAAACGCCGACAAGAATGCCGTCCATTATATTCCAGCCGTTCTTAAAGTAGGCGTCACTGCCGTAGAGGAGACCTTTGGCCGTCACTTTGATGGCCATCTCGAGCGCGAATATAACGGTAAACACATAGTTAGCCACACCTAAGAACTCGCGCTCCGCACTCCAGGGCGGGATCTTTGGCCTCTCCATCGCCAGAGTTATGCAATTAAACGATATAAACAACAACACTATGTAATCAAAGTACGTGTTGTCGGCGACGGCCAGACAGTGGCGTCGGAACTGATTGTCCGGCGGAAGGATGAATAGGGAGTACTCTTCGCGCTGAGACATCCATTCGGTCCAATCAAAGTAGACAAAAAACTTGCGTTGAGATGAGTTTGGCAACAGATACGCGCCGTTGTTGCACGTGGTGTTGGCCTCACCGCCGACATCGGTGGCGCCGGTGATGGCCTGAAACGACGGGCCCAACAGGCGGTCGTCTTTGAACGATTCGGCCAACTGTGCGGGCAATTCATCCAATTTGAAGGACGAGTTGACGGCCGAAACGGGCGCCGGATTGCGGACACTGATGACACTCGACGAGTAAAAAACACCGGACAGAGAGTTCCGCGGCGACAGCACTCGGATCTCGTGGATAATACTGTTCTTGCGTTCCAGCGATTGAAAACTGGTCACTGAGTCGTCGGGACTGGCGGTTGAGTTACACCCGACAGAGTTGTGGCGTTTGATGAGCGACGGCTCTCTGGCCGCCGACGCTGTCGACGGTATTGAGCACCGAGTGTTTCGGTTATGATTATTATCACTACTGTTGTTGTTGTGGCCGGTGTTGAGCGCCAACAGATCGCCGTTACACGACTGATGGTTCACATCGGCTTCGGTGGTGATAAAACTTGCGTTGAGATGAGTTTGGCAACAGATACGCGCCGTTGTTGCACGTGGTGTTGGCCTCACCGCCGACATCGGTGGCGCCGGTGATGGCCTGAAACGACGGGCCCAACAGGCGGTCGTCTTTGAACGATTCGGCCAACTGTGCGGGCAATTCATCCAATTTGAAGGACGAGTTGACGGCCGAAACGGCCACCGGATTGCGGACACTGATGACACTCGACGAGTAAAAAACACCGGACAGAGAGTTCCGGGGCGACAGCACTCGGATCTCATGGATAATACTGTTCTTGCGTTCCAGCGATTGAAAACTGGTCACTGAGTCGTCGGGACTGGCGGTTGAGTTACACCCGACAGAGTTGTGGCGTTTGATGAGCGACGGCTCTCTGGCCGCCGACGCGGTCGACGGTATTGAGCACCGAGTGTTTCGGTTATGATTATTATCACTACTGTTGTTGTTGTGGCCGGTGTTGAGCGCCAACAGATCGCCGTTACACGACTGATGGTTCACATCGGCTTCGGTGGTGA